CCACTAAACATGACTTACGTCATATGAGGAATGCGTTAGGTCCGCGTTTATAACGAAGTAGGCAGCCCGCAATACATTTCCTGGCTGAAGACATCGTGCAGCTTCATTTGACGTAAACTGCCAATGTCTTGGGCATTTTGGGTGACCCGATTGACTTCTAAACGCCCTAAGGTCTCGAACACTGAGCCACTAGTCTACCTTCAGTGGCACTCATAGCACGCTCAGCCCGAATCCTTGGGACAAAGGACTACAGCACTTACTCATGCGTAAAGAGATTAATAAAATGCCGGTGTCCACTTTGTTGCTCTCGTGTCTAGTGTTTCAAGGTAATTCACTTGCCTCCATAAATTTTAAGTAGTTCGGCAACTATTCATTCCCTAGATGACTGAACAAGCCGGTCAGGACGATGGGCGACACGGAAACCCATCTCAGGGATACAGCAGGAGCAAAACTGGTTGGGACAGATCACTGAATGCTAGTTGACGAACGGACGCAAATTAGAACCCACTACGCGCCTTGCTGGTAATGGCGAGTTTATTGAGTACTCGAGAGTGTTTACACATGTCTCTTACATTCCAGCCTTTTAAGCACACACTCAATCGAGCACTCAATCCTCCTTACAATGAGCTTCTCCGTTGCTATGAATCCTGGTTTCCGGGCATGCCTTGCAGCTATGCTATGAGGGTTTGGCCAGGTCTTAATGGTCGACGGTTCAGTAATTTTATTAAAAATCACTATCTCGATCACAAGGCGATTAGAATTCTGCCATCTATTATCATCAAAAACGTTTCGGCAACGAGGCACTGTAGAAAACACTAAGAACAGCAAATCATGGTTTGCGGGTTGCCTACCTTGTCCCCTGTGACCCCTGTGCACCAAATTTTATCCTTTGACTTGCTAAGGGTCTACAAATCCGTTTTAGGTTCCCTTTGAGTCAAAATGACGGTTCAAGAGTTGACTTGTACGACGAAAATGCCCTTGGGTCAAATTGGCCCGCTCGGCGCTTTACGGTAATCCGAAAACCCGGCGCTTCTAGTGTTAAAAGTTGTTTAAGTAAACTAGATGCTAAATTATTGGCTGAGCGATAGCGAAGCCTGTTACTCCAGTGGGGTTGAAAAGTTTTTCATGTCTGTCTGTCTGTCTGTGTGTCTGTGTGCGTGCACTACTCCTCCTGAACGGCTCGGCCGATCTCGGTGAGATTTTGCACACTTTTTAGGTATGTCCTTGGCTCGGCACACGCAAAATTTCACTACCCTAGCTCATCTGGTTCAGTTTTTATAGCCGAAAAACACCTAAAAAACGGCCTAAAATCGAGTTGTCTGCAGGCAGATGCCTTCTGTCTTGAGGAAAGGGGGGTCTGGGGGGCAGGGCCCCCAGCCTTGCCAAGTTTAAAAGTTTCAAGGGTCAAGATCGTGTGATCTGAGGGGCGTCTGGGGGGTGGAGCCCCTCAGCATGCAACAAGCTGGAAGAAACCGACGATGGACAAGCCATTGCCTACCGAAGGCAGGCTAGCGCCGCAGGCCAAGGTAGGTGTAAACGCCAGGCGTGGATTGTCGAAACTGGTGCAGCATCGCGAAGCCTGTTACGACAAGACACGGTCTTGCGTACACCTACCTTGTTTTCTTAATAATACTATAAAAATTGACATACTTTTCATTTGCTTTCAGGGAAGTTACAGTGGAAATCGGTCTTGGATTGTGTACAGCAGTATGAGTCAAGATGGCAATTGCCTTTTCTCAGCCATTGCACACCAGTTGTACAAGCACATGGCAGTGCAGTCCACAGAGTTTGAACAAGCTGCTATGGACTTACGATAAAAGGCAGCAGCATTAATAAGAGAGGATCTGTCTACATTTGGTGAAAGTATTGATGAAACAATAGCGGACCTGCAGGACAATAAAAAGTATAGCCCAAAGACAACCAGAGGCAGGCGCCAAGCCTATCTACGTAATCTTGAGCTAGGTGTTGAGTGGGGAGGAGAAGAAAGCCTTTCTGTCTTGCTCGCTCGCTTAATTTGATTTTACTAACTTTTGTTCATCTCTTTCCTAGATTTGGGAAAACTCAGTTGATGGAAACACATCAGTTAGCTGGAAGCAGTGCCGTTCCATCTGCTACTGGTCAAGCTTTTCCTGACAATGAGAGCATTTTGCATGATGGTAGACTTGGCAGCATTCATTCACCGGTTTCTTTGAATAACAGTACGTTGCTTGTCTTTCAATTTTCCTTTCAATATATTTCTGTGTCTCGCTCTATTCCTAAATTTGATAATACAAGGTAGGTTTACGCCAGACCGCGTCTTGTCGTAACAGGCTTCGCGATGTGTCGCTGCCTGTTTCTCCAATCCGCGCCTGGCGTACCTACCTTGGCCTGCGGCGCTAGGCTGCCTTCGGCAGACAATGCTTGTCCATCATCAGTTACTTCAGAACTGTTGCATGCTGGGGGCCCCCAGACCCCCCTTCATTCTAGATAGAGGTGCTTCATCTACAAATTACACGATCTTGACCCTTGTAACTTTTCAACTTGTCGGCCCCCCAGCCCCCTTTCATCCAGACAGGAGAGGTCTACCGACAGAAAACTCGATTTTTCGCCGTTTTTTAGGTGTTTTTCGGCTATAAAAACTGAACCACTTGAGCTAGGATGGTGAAATTTCGCGTGTGCCGAGCCAAGAACATACCTAATATAGTCGAACCCCCGAAAGAATAGTAGACCGTCCCCGGCTGCTGCGGAGCGGTCGTGAGCGGGGAGCGTCCCCACTCCTTCCCGTAGTCCCCCACTCCTCCTAGAGCATATGCGGAGGGGAAGGAACAAAAGAAGTGTGATTCAAAACTGCCAACAGATGACAACTCTTACACATTTTTTTAAAAACTTCCTGTTCATGAGTAAATTGTCATCTGGTCACTTTAAATGTATTATTGTTTTATTTTGTGCGTGTGAGATACTAATTCTCTTAAAATAATGAAAATTATGTTTTGTCGTTGTGGGGACCAACAACAAAAACAAAAGGGAGCAACAAGCAACATGGCGTCTCTGGTGGACGCGGTGGTTTCATGGTGCGGCCTCGCGACAAATTCGATCTGATTTGGAAGAAAAGCATGAAGAAATTAAGTAAACAATGGTCAAGGATGGTGTTTGAGAGTAAGCGAAAGGTTTGGGCTATAATCTAGCCTTCAGCGGACTCTTGGGAAAATATTGTAGCCCTAGTTAGCGTCTGGCTCTTTCCTAACCAAACTAAGCTGTGCAGGTCGTCCCGTGGATTAAGTTGAATATTGTGCAATTTTCGCTTTATCGCCTAGATCCTTTCCATGTATCTAAAGGTTAATAGCGTTCTCGATATGCCATACAGACATAACCTCCTTGTAGCTAAGTCATCATTAAAATACAAGTTAACCTCAAATTTGCTTTGCGCTATGTTCAATATAAGTTAAGGTAGATGCCCTTTCATATTTTTGACCCTTGAATAGAAATCTGTCAAAGAAAGTAATGCTACACTGCATGAATCCGGTTAAATTAGGTGATTGTGTTTGGAGATGTATTGTGCATTTTTCTGGGGTGCAATCTCCTCTCTCGTGACAAAGGGTGACGGGTATGTAGGATAATTAGTGTTGTAAAATCCTTTTCAAAGTATGTGCTAGTTAGTTTATCTGCATCAGTCAGAACAGCAGCCTTCTTATGTTCAGGATTTTGCATCAACTTAGTGGGTGAACCGACATGTTTGCATGTGATCATGTAAAGTCTTTTAATGCTAATTTTGTCGCATCATGTTGCAGTTTTTCTCAACTTTGCATCCTTGATCGGACCGCATTACCAGTTCCAAGGACAGTGTGTTGGAGCATTGAGGGAGGAAGGACATTGTCAGCGTTGAAGATTTGAACCCATTGCCTGCTTTTATTTGCAACAGGAGAGATGCAGGTATGTAAATATAATTAGTTTAGTATCCATTTAGTATTGTCAAATTTGTTTGTATCATTTGAGTCGTAGTTTCTCAAATGAACAAAATGCTAACCCCTTGGCATTTCTGATTTGGCTCAAACTTTGTGGAACGTTCGGAATATGAGTAGTGAGTCCTCCCAAAATTTTTCAGACCTCTAGCCTTTACCTTAGAGCTGCTGTAAAACAAGATTAGTTTGAAGAAATGCTGCAAAGGTTCTTCAAGAACCTTTGCACTCAATTGTTGTGCAGAATCAAAAAATATCATGACAGGTTCAGTCCATAGGAGTACTTAATGTAAAGCGTCTTAATTTGTTGTCTAGTCCGAAAGAAACCTTCCCTCTCAAACACTTCGAGCTTCAACTCAAAGTATTTAATAAAATTAATATGGTAATTCCTGGACTTAACGATACCTTGCATGTCTGTCTCTTTAATATTACTCAGTTGGGTTTGTGGATGGACTCGTTTGCACCAGGAGGAAATGAATGTAATGGTCAGCAAGAAAGCATTTAGCGATTAGCATTTTCATACTTAAAGTTAAAATATTGTTTGACTTTCATGTCCCTTGTCATTTAAAGGTTCCAACTAACAATATCAGATCAGTATTTTATGCTCTTCAATTATAGGGAAAACCCACTTGCTTCAGATTTCAGATTGAATCAATTTTCTTCACTCTACTGACACAAATTTTGAATATCATTAAGCAAATTAGTGTGTATTTCTTGCAATCTATTTTTGCGCAAGCAGCGCACAAAATTTCCCGCACACCAAGATGTAGTTAACATGCATAAAATTGTGCCTTGTCCACTAAAAGATCAGTAAGTGTGTGGAAATTTTGTCTGTACATAAGAAACTCACCTTCAAAATAGTTTCAAGGTGGTGATGTTTCCAGCGTGATAGTGTTTGTGAACTAATGCAGGTTGGTTCCTTCCAGTGAGCTGCCAAGATGGGAAAAGGAGAGTGTGCGTCTCCCTCTCCAAGTCACCGTTGCAGTCGACTGGGGCGCCGTCCTACCGTGCTGTGCCCTGCACTGCTCTCCTCCACGCCTCGCCTCCTCGCCTCGCCTCGCCTCCTCGCCACGCCCTGCCTCGCCTCGCCTCGCCACGCCGTGCCCTACCGCCCTGGCCCGGCGCGGCTGGGGCCGTTGCCATTCTAAGTCATCACTAGAAGTGCGTCCAACGTATGGCCTTTTGTGTTCTTGCCAGTGCGGTTGGCAACTGCGTTTGCTAGTGCGTTTGGCAAATGGGCAATTGTTCCAAGTGTCAGTGCTGCCTCAAAAGGTGTGTGAAGTGCGTGTCGTGACCGTGTCACTCGGCCCGCTACACCAGCTCGCCGTCTCCCTCTGGCCGACTCAAGATTCCATCATCTGGCGTGAGTAAAAGTCGACCCGAAGTCGTGAATGATGTCGTTTTCAGCCGGAAACTTTCAAAGTGGCGTTGCGTCTGGAGGCGCCATTGGGAAAGTACACGGTAAAAACGGTTCATACTTTTGATTTCCAGGGAGTTCGTAGGAAAAACCAGGGACCGTTTTTACCGTGTGGTTTTGTGTATCTGCACACAAAATCTGTGTGTTCTGTACAAAGAAATATTTCGCAATTACAAAGTATTTTTTAAGTAAACTTATGTATGCTCAAAATACTTAATTACAACGAGCTGCTTTTCTTTGATAGGCCTGAAATAGTTTGTGAGGTTGTTACATGAAGAAATAGTTGGTAATTACAAAGTATTTTCTTAGTAAGCCAATGTGTGCTCGAAGTACTTAGTTCTTTCTAACGAACTGCTTTTCTTTGCAAGGCCTCAAATTGTTAGTAAAGTTTTCTCAGTGAGATCACTGTTTGTCCTGGGGCAAACTACAAGTATTTTCCTGTTGGGGCCCCACGCTTCTAGCCTTCGGGCATGCTGTGGTCAACTCTTGCAGGCGTCGGGCATTGTGTGGTCGCAATTCAAAGCGTCAGACACAACTGGTCGACACTTGCAAGCGTAGGACAAACTGGTCCACGCCAACAAGTGTCGTGTTGTCCTATTCTTAGATGTGCTGTGTGCCGGGTATCACGCGAGTGTTAACCCCAACGCGTTTTTGCCGTGTGCACTGTGAAAATCTGTTGTCACTTTATGACGAAAACGTGGATGGTATTTTCATCACGTTCAAATAATGACAGTCTCATTACAAATTGATGACATTTTAATCAAAGCTCCAATACTTATTGCATGGGCGTGACAACAATGTCATCAGCTGTTTAAATGACATCCTTAAAAGAAAAATGGGCCTCGAAATTGTCATTAAGTAACGACTCAAATTTTCACAGCGTGCTTACGACTCAAATCGCGAAAGACTCTTGATTCCTTTTCCATTAAGAAGTGCCGCCTTCACTCTCATTATAGGAACGTGACATTACATTCAAATGAATGTGCCAACATGTCACGTTCCTTTCAGCACTGTGTCGCGTTCGTTTAAATGTGAATTAGCTAGTTTGTGGCCGATTCACATCCAAACGAATGTGACTCAACGCTCAAAGGAACGTCACATTTTGTGACATTGGTTTCAACATGATGTCACGTCGCTCAAACGAGAGTTTTACGTTGCAGTGTTAGATATACTAGACATACATACTCTAGTAAAACTAAAGCGAAACTCTATGCGTGAGTCAAGCATAAAGTTACGCTTGAAGACGTAGTGCTTGAATCGAGGGGTCGGCAACTCATATATTACTTCGTACGCGGTGGCTATATTACCCGTATATTACCTGTACATTACCATATATTACTTGCATATTACCACAATTTCGCTTCTATAATACCCCTATATTACTATATATTACTTCGTATTACTTTATATTACACATATATTACCTATATTACTGGTAATATACGTATACTCCCTCGTACAAGGCCAAGGGAAGTTGCCGACCCCTCGGCTTGAATTGACGCATACTCTGGAAATTCCCCCATGCATTAAGATAGGGGAAATCTTGGCGGATCAGCCTGTTGCGCATCATTTCAAGCGTCAACTGATTACGCTTGAAAACAGAAGCTTATACTACGGTTTAGTTTTACCAGTGTAGCAGATACATAGAAGGCTGCTGCGCGGCGCCCGTCTAGCGTGTCTGTATTTACGAGCAGCCCGATGTTTCTAAATGCTCCGTGCAGTCTGGTCCAAACCAAGTTCCCCTCTTTCCGCGAGCCGTTCCGTTAGCGCGCTCACCAGCCTCGGGTTATAGGGTCCCCCGCTGGCATCCCCCTCTCATTCTCCGCACGCCGTAGGTTGTTCAATTCTCGCCCGCTGCGGCCTCGCAGGGTGGGGTCTCTGTTGATTAACCCGTGCTAAGTGCGGCGAAGACGGCGTGTCAGCTTGGGGGTAGACAATTACCCCCCCCCCCCACACTGCACCCCGTGAGTGTTTGAGTGTGTGTGACAAAGCATGTTTGTGTGGCTGTGCTGTAGCCTGCGACTGAAAGCTTCCTTTGATCTTTGCGGCTGTAGATTTGATTGCAAGTCGACTTCGCGACGACGGGGCGTCCCTCGGCGTCCTTTTTCATTTCGATAAATGATAATTGCTACTAATATTGATGCTTCGATTCCCTGTATTTGCCGCCTGTCGCTTTGGCTGTTCGAGGCCTTCTCGATGCGTACGCGCAGAGAAGGAAATTGCTTGACGGCTCTGTACTGAGCGGCGTAGAAAGGGTGTCGGTGTGGGGGTGGTTCGTGCTCCACTGCACCCCTTTTTTTTGTGCAAGGCTCTTTCTGTCCAATCTGTCCACAGTGTAGGATGCATATTTGGCACGTTCCTTGCTGTCCTGTCCAAATCTAGTTCCCCTTCTGCGACCCGTTCCGTTATTGCGCTCAGCAACCTTGCTTAGTATTACGTTGACTCATTTTTGGGACTTCTCTCAAATCAATCTCCGCCTTGTCCTCTGCCATTTGAGGCCTGCTCGTTGCGTCCGCGCAGGGCAGAGGCTTTCTCGATTGGCTTGGCACTTTGCGGCGTAAAAGGGGTGTCGGTCTTGGGGTGTTTCATACTCCCTGGCCCACCCGTGTTTGTGCGTGTGTGTTTGTGTGTGCGCTTGTCCATCTTTTATCCTTTTTTTTGGGGGGGGGAGTACCTATTTTGTGCTGAGCAGCCGTTCCGTTAGCGCGCTTTGCACCGTCAACTTATTGTTCAAACGCCCCTTACTTCAATTCTAGCTCTCTATCTCCGCCTGTCGGCCGTTCGTGGTCTGCTCGTTGCGTCCGCGCAGGGCAGAGGCTTTCTCGATTGGCTTGGCACTTTGCGGCGTAAAAGGGGTGTCGGTCTTGGGGTGTTTCATACTCCCTGGCCCACCCGTGTTTGTGCGTGTGTGTTTGTGTGTGCGCTTGTCCATCTTTTATCCTTTTTTTTTGGGGGGGGGGAGTACCTATTTTGTGCTGAGCAGCCGTTCCGTTAGCGCGCTTTGCACCGTCAACTTATTGTTCAAACGCCCCTTACTTCAATTCTAGCTCTCTATCTCCGCCTGTCGGCCGTTCGTGGTCTGCTCGTTGCGTCCGCGCAGGGCAGAGGCTTTCTCGATTGGCTTGGCACTTTGCGGCGTAAAAGGGGTGTCGGTCTTGGGGTGTTTCATACTCCCTGGCCCACCCGTCTGTATGTGTGCGTGCGCCTGTGTGCTTGGGGAGGCCTCGTTAACGCCGATGACGGGATTTGTTGCGGACTTTTCGTGACGCAGCCCGCTGATTGCACTGTTAAGGCGATTGCTCTCCTAAATTCAAGTCAACGGATTGGGTCTAAAGTCGATACACGTGTTTGGCATTTGAAGTATAGGTCTGCTCTTGCAACGTTCACGCCCGAATTAAGAGACTTAGACCAAAAGTAACTACAGATTCTGAAAGATAAAATGTGCGCCCATTCAATGGTTTCCAGCCAAAAGCGGTGTGCGGGTGGCGTTTGGGGCAGATAGGCCCCTCCTCGAATGATAAATTATTATCGTACGGGTGACTCTACGGCCCACAGTGAGCCAGAAGAATGTCGCAGGCGGCCAAAACTAGACGCGTTTTGAGTTCTAGAGTCACTAAACTGGACTCGAACCGAACGTGTAATCCCACAAATGGATTGCTCTCCGAGTGAGGCATCCATTGGTTGGGTCACACGTTCGGCTCGAGTCCCATTTAGCGCCTCTGGAGCTCAAAACGCGTCCGGGATTTTGACCGGCCTCCACTTTTTCTAGCCCACTGTGCGCTCCGGCCCGGCCCTTGAAATGCGAACGCTGATCACCTCCTCAAGAACCCTGTCACTTCGCACTTTCACTTTATATCGAATTGTGTTTGCTGCGTAGCACGTGCAGTGCCGTGGGGCCCGAGGGACAGCGTCCTGCGATTCGGGTCCCTAGGGTGATGATGCGGGAGGATCGGAGCGCTTGAGGGCGCCTGTGAGGCTTTCTCGTCTCACCCTGACGGGACGCCGCACAGTGGGCCGTGGTTTGTCCCACTCTTACTGCCTATGGTTCCCTGTGGTTTAATACCACAGGATCCACGCTCGTAAGTTTAAGACAAACCGTGCCTCACGCTTGGAATAGTACGTGGCTCACACTTGTAAGCGTGAGACATCGTGGTTCGCACTAAATAGTGTGAGACTGTCTCACACTTGGATTGGCAGTGCATTGTTGTGTTATCACTGAAAATGGATAGGTCATACTTTTGACCGGTTAAATAGTCTCACTGAAATGTACGACCGAAAAAGGGTCATACTGAAATGTAAGACCGAAAAAAGGTCATACTTCGATGTATGACCGAAAAACGGTCATACTTTATAGTGTATCACAGGTAAACGCTGATATTTCCCTAAGCTAAACAATAGCCAGTCTCGCTGATGTCTGACCTTTTTTTGGTCATACATTTTAGTATGACCGTTTTTCGGTCATACTTTTTGTATCACCGAAAATCGGTCAGATGTCTCACCCTTTGAATTTCAGTGTACACGTTTGGTCCGAGTCGTCATGTTAAGCGACTCTGGAGCTCAATGCGCGTCGAGAGTTTTGTCCGCGGCCCACTGTGCGCCCCATGAGTGCGAGTGAGACCGTGCGACGAAAGCAGAGCTCGGATTGAGTCTGGGCCGCGCGGTACGTAAGGCTATCCCTTGAAGAGTGGCATACCGACACGGTAAAAACGAAACCTGATTTTCCCAGGAAGCCAATGGCGAAGGCATAGGCGATTCCCAGGGAGTTCCTGGGAAAACCAGGAACCGTTTTTACCGTGGAGTGAGTCGGTTGGCCCGGGTTGGCCGCGGCTGGGGCCGCTCCACCGCGCTGCGTTTCGCTTGGGGGAGATTTTACGGCACCGAACCTCTTGTGTTTGGAATGCGGTGCTGTTGATGTTCAGGTCCGTCTTGAGCCGGCGGGGTGTATTGAACGGATATTGCTCATTCGAGTTTAGGGAAGTGGATGTTTTGGAACTGTGTGGTGCTGTTTCGTAATTCGTTTTTCTGTTGCTGATTTCAGGGTTGTTTCTGTTGTTTATTATTGTTGTTTTAGAATGAAAGAGTCATTGACCAGGGCTCAAATTTTTGGTGAGGGACTCTTTATTGCCCAAATTTTGGTGAAAATCATTTAGCTTTCCAAATTTGGGTGATAATAAAGGTTTGTTTCCTCACCCAAATTTGGGGGATGTTACTATCTAGCGGAGAGAGAGAGAGAGAGAGAGAGAGAGAGAGAGAGAGAGAGAGAGAGAGAGAGAGAGAAGTCACTTGAAAATAAAATTGTTTGGAGTTCAGGAAATAGAACAGGAATTCTGGGATTCCTTTGATCTTTGCGGCTGTAGATTTGATTGCAAGTCGACTTCGCGACGACGGGGCGTCCCTCGGCGTCCTTTTTCATTTCGATAAATGATAATTGCTACTAATATTGATGCTTCGATTCCCTGTATTTGCCGCCTGTCGCTTTGGCTGTTCGAGGCCTTCTCGATGCGTACGCGCAGAGAAGGAAATTGCTTGACGGCTCTGTACTGAGCGGCGTAGAAAGGGTGTCGGTGTGGGGGTGGTTCGTGCTCCACTGCACCCCTTTTTTGTGTGCAAGGCTCTTTCTGTCCAATCTGTCCACAGTGTAGGATGCATATTTGGCACGTTCCTTGCTGTCCTGTCCAAATCTAGTTCCCCTTCTGCGACCCGTTCCGTTATTGCGCTCAGCAACCTTGCTTAGTATTACGTTGACTCATTTTTGGGACTTCTCTCAAATCAATCTCCGCCTTGTCCTCTGCCATTTGAGGCCTGCTCGTTGCGTCCGCGCAGGGCAGAGGCTTTCTCGATTGGCTTGGCACTTTGCGGCGTAAAAGGGGTGTCGGTCTTGGGGTGTTTCATACTCCCTGGCCCACCCGTGTTTGTGCGTGTGTGTTTGTGTGTGCGCTTGTCCATCTTTTATCCTTTTTTTTTGGGGGGGGGGGAGTACCTATTTTGTGCTGAGCAGCCGTTCCGTTAGCGCGCTTTGCACCGTCAACTTATTGTTCAAACGCCCCTTACTTCAATTCTAGCTCTCTATCTCCGCCTGTCGGCCGTTCGTGGTCTGCTCGTTGCGTCCGCGCAGGGCAGAGGCTTTCTCGATTGGCTTGGCACTTTGCGGCGTAAAAGGGGTGTCGGTCTTGGGGTGTTTCATACTCCCTGGCCCACCCGTCTGTATGTGTGCGTGCGCCTGTGTGCTTGGGGAGGGCTCGTTAACGCCGATGACGGGATTTGTTGCGGACTTTTCGTGACGCAGCCCGCTGATTGCACTGTTAAGGCGATTGCTCTCCTAAA